AGGCATTGAAAATTTTAAAATAATAATGATTACATAGGCAGTATAGAAAGTTTGAAAAAAAAAATTAGTTAAATTCTATAGTCAATTATTTTTCAAGGTGAGCTCAAGTTTATATTATTTGCAGGTTTACCTATAAGTAAACAGAAATTCATTAATTTAAATACCTCGAGACTGCTAAAAGATGTCACAGAAAAATATTCTCTGAAGTTATTAGGTATTTACTACGATAAAAATTAACCTATAGGTAATTATTAATAAGCTACGATTGATACCTAATAAATACGGGGAACAGCAAGGGCTATTTTAGCCCGATACATTTATTTGATTTAATTAATCAATCGGAATATTTCAATTATATTATAAAACGGAACGATAATTTATGTGGGTACAATTAAAAGCAACAGTAAGGTATATAGGCCCGAACTAACCTCCAAAGTATCTTCCTGCAAAGAAGCTTCTTCTAGCATTTCGCTGATTGGAATTGGAACCCATAGCCAAGATCTAAGATCCAAGGTGTTATGATGGGACTGGCTCGGTAATGGCTTCACGTTTGTCCACAGTTTTTGGGCGATAGCATAGTCTTAAGCTCTGACTACCTAGAAAACGGTCCTAGCTCTACCAAAGGAGCCTTTCTCAATTGAAGGAACATGGGAATTGATGTATGAAATATTGTGAATGTGAAATAGGTAACGGTAATGCCTTTTGGTAATTATTTCTTGATAAATCCAGTTTCGATTCCCGATTCAAAAGGCAATTTTTGCTGGAATATTGGAATTTTTGAAGGATCCCTTATAGTACTAGGGAGATCCTATGTCAAAGTCTAAAAACTTGATCGAAGAAATCATAATGAAGAGTCGACAGGGTGACGCCAGATAAGGATATTGCAACCACAACACGTTAGAATCTCAGCTTGATAAAGCTAGATAAACGCTTGACGCTTGTGAGATTAGAATGTAAATAAAAAAAACAACTTTGAAGTTGAACGGTTTTATTGAATTTAATACTAATACTCGAGTTATTACCAGATAATAATAATACTAGAAAGTTGAAAAATAATTCGGTAGGTCCTAGGTAGTAGTCATCACACCATTATTTTGTTGTCTGATCAATGCCCTAGATTACTGATGAGAGTGGTGTGATGACTAGTACCTAGGACCTACCGAATTATTTTTTAACTTTTTAGTATTAGATATTATTACCTGGTAATAACTCGAGTATTAGTATTAAATTCAATAAAACCGTTTAACTTAAAAATTGTTTTTACTTATTTTATTTTCAAGTTCTTTGTGTTGATTAGATGCCTAGATTTCTGGATCAAAAAGAACTTCACAGTTATGAACTCACCCCCTTGACACCCCTAACCCACCCCCTACCACCGTTTTTTCCATAAAATTGTGTTGTCACCAGGACAAATCATAAATCTTAAAACCACATGTTCGTATCTGTTTTGATTCCATAGGTATGAATTTACCTCCTTTACACCCCTCACCCACCATCTACCCCTGTTTTTTTTCATTAAATTATATTTTGTCACCAGATCAAATCATAAATCTGGAAACCGCATGTTCGTATCTGTTTTGGTTCCAAAGCTATGCATTTCTCCCCTTTACACCCCCCTCGACCACCTCCTTTTTTTAAAATAATTATATTGTAGTCAGATCAAATCATAAATCTGGAAACCGCATGTTCGTATCTGTTTTGGTTCCAATGTTATGCATTTTTCCTCTTTACACCCCACCTCGACTACCTCCTAACCCCCTTTTTTTTTTTCAAGGGCCCCACGGACTGCGTTTTTGTTAGACGGTTTTGTTCGATGAGCAAATCTGGGCCCGGATTCCGAACTCACGATTCGATAGTATCGTCTATGTTTTATATGGACGATACTATCGAATCGTGGGTTCGGAATCCGGGCCCTGGTCGAGCAAAAATGACGCAAAACCGAAGTGTGTGTACGATTGTAACCAGATCAAATCATAAATCTGAAAACCGCATGTTCGTATCTGTTTTGATTCCAAAATTACGCATTACTCAACCATCCCCCTCAACCACCCCCTACACCCAAAATTTTCTCACAATATTGTATTGTCATCGGACCTATATTACTGTTCCAAATTTCATCAAACTCGGTTCACAGAAAGTCTGTCAAAAATGAATTGTAACATTTCAACATTTGACCCAAACAAAAAACAAAAAACAACAAACAGAAGTTAAATAAAACCGTTTAATAAAAACTCAATTGTTACACTCAGGAAATGTCTAACTCAAACATACCCAAAAAATATTGGAAACACAAACAAAGTACCCTACGAATGCGGAGAATTATATATAGATATAGGAGACGAAAATCAGATGTACGAGTACCTACATAAGACCAACACCCAAAAGTAACAAAATACCTGAATCGTTCAACATGTATGAGAGAAGCAACACAACATTCAATGGATGAAAATCCAAAAGAGCAACAATGGTTCAAACGCAAATTAAAGGAAGCAGCAAATATTATAGAAAATAAAAACGAATTCAGCAACCCATCGACTGAAGTTTCAAAAATATGGAGTTCTATTTTGAAGGGTCATAAATCATTGAGAAACTGCGGTTGAGATTGTACCTATATAAACTTGTAGCTAGTGAGGAATTGTTTCAGCGTGATAACGACCGACATAAAATAATTGTTTATGGTCAGATCAATTCTTGCAGTTTTCCTAAAGCATTTTTTCTCCTTTTAATTAAGATAGCGGCTATATCGACGCGAGAAAGAAGATCAATATTTTCCAATAGTCAAATTAGAAAACACAGATAATAAACTTTGACACTACCAATGGAGAATGTCTTGCCCTCAAAGTGATGATCGACCTTTGCCTTACATTGCGTCGTTTAGTTTCATTCTGCACCTGAGACTTCAGCAATAGTTTCATTACAATATAACTATTGATGATGGATGGACAGCATCTCTTGATTAATATAACAAAAATCAATGAACATTGACGCTATACCATAAGACCAAATTATTGCATCCATGTATTGAGGAACTCTACCTACATTCTGTAAATAGCTTGGAAAGCAAAGTTATTTTTTTATACCACTGTCAAGTAGGCTTTATATACTGCGGTTGACAAAGTTTTAGGCAATAGCAATTACGCTTCCATTCAAAGTTTCATGTACAGAAATGTCTCAAATTTTTCAATATACCCTCCTGCATATCATAAGTCACTTAATACGGCAGTATTAAAGTGGATTACATCTACCTGGTAATTGCTACTCTATTCGTAGAATGAACCGAGCGCAGTTCGTAATGGAAAACGCTTCATCTTTGCACAATAAATTTGTGCACTTAACGTTTAAATTTAGGTCTCTTGTTTTACTCTAAGTTTAAATTACATTAAGATTTAGGAAGCGCATTTTGGAACGTTTAATGCAGCGATTTGTAAAAAGCAATTAATTAATTTTAATTCTAATTTAGTTGCTGTTCTGAGATGAATATTTTGAATAGGTTTCTGGTTTCTTGATAGTTTTATTTTGCTAGCATGAGTTGTTCTTTAGAGGGATTCCATTGAGACATCATGAATTTTTCAGATAAAACGCGTCTCTTTTTAGGCCAGGCAACATAGGTCGAATAAGGGGGCGTAGCCGAATTAATTCCCGGAAAGCTGGAAATGGTTTTAATCTTTTCATTTACGTGTAAAAATAGTTTTTTGAAGTTTTAACAAATTTTCTGTTTGTGCTCCCAAAAACCTGGACATTTCCTGACTTTTCACAGTTTTTCCCTAATAACTCCTAAAGGATACATTTCTAGGAAATTTTTACTCCTCAATAAATTAAAGTACACAAAATTCTGCAATGAGTACCATATACTGAAAATTGTCTCAACTGGCTAGGAAAATATGCAAAGTCAAACAACGACGATATTTTCCGTTCTAAAAAAAATGTGTTTTTTACTTATTTTCGTAATGTTATCTTGTAGGAAAGCCCTCATACAGTCTAGCAGCTTCTCCAGTTGGAGGAAGAGTAACTTAGTTGAAATTATTCTGTACTAAGAATTTCGTGAACAGTTTAAAGCTTGTTTCATTCAAAATGGAAGATTGAAGAAGCGATCTGTCATACAAAGCCGCAATTACTTTTTCACCGGCAGCACCAATTTCATCTGCAGTCGCGTCAATGTTTTTGAATATCTCCACAGTCCGTCGTACCTCCGCATTTTTGTCAAGCAGCTTTACAAACTTCTTCTTCCCCTGCCTGAAAATGGCTGACGTTGAATTGCATCCGCTGAATGCGCGAAGGAATATTTTTTTTTTTTCACTTTATTTAACATTTTGAAATGTCTCGGGGAATAGAAGATGGTCTCGACCTTCCTTTTTTAGGCTTCATCAAAAACAACCGATCGCTATTAGGAGCTAACGCAGTAATAATTACCAAAACATCTATGACTTATTCTATTAGAAGCACACATGCGGAGTATGTAACATTTACTGTAGCCCTTCTGACGATGGTTTATGGTTGTGTCAGCATCCTCTGCAGCTTCTTCGTCGGCGATAACTGGGCGTCTATTCTCGAAACCGGGGAACAGAGTTATCATGAGAATGAAGGTTCTGTCTTAGTCGCCCATATTTATATTTCCATAACACTGACAAAGACAGAGCAATCGGTCTCGTGAGAATGCTGTTCACCAGTTTCGAGAATAGTCACACTGCAAATCTATGAATCAGAATTGATATGAAGCGGACTGTCGAGATATCCAAAAACCTTGCCGCGACCGCAGATGAAATTGGTGCTGCCGGTGACAAAGTAATTGGGGCTTTGTATGCCAAATCGCTTCTTCAATCTTCGTGTTTGAATGAATCACGCTTTAAACTGTTCACGAAATCCTGAGTACAGAATAATTTCAAATTTGCTACTATTCCTCCAACTGAAGAAGCTGCTAGACTGCATGCAATGAGGGCTATTCTACAAATTAATTTGTGGAAGGGGTGTCGGGATGCTCGTGCGGTTGCAGGAAGCAAGGAATGAAATGTTTCCCAATATGTTTCAACTGCAGAGGAGCATCCTGTTTTCACACACTAGATGAAATCGATGACGAACCAAACTTTAATGAAGACGAAGTATTGCTACCTGACGAAGATGACGTATTGGAAGACCTTCAGGATGAAGATGACCTTAAATTGGACCAATTGTTTCCGTCAGCTTCTACTTTTCACTCCCAAACGTAGCAAAATCCAGTCAACGCTGTATTTATATAGTTTTGTATCTGTCATTTATTTTTTGTTAATCACTGTTCGCATATACGATCCGATACATGGTATGATACTATAGGATATTCAAATGTTAAAAACTTTTATTTCATTTGTTTCATTTAGATAACATTGCGAAAATAAGGAAAAACCCCATTTTCTTTTTAATGGATATCGTCGCTGTTTGACTTTGCATATTTTCCTAACGACTTGAGACATAGTTGAGGGTGAGTATAATATGGTACTCATTCGACACCCCGTGTAGAGCACAAGCAGAAAATTTTGCAAACTTTAAAAAAAAAAACCTTTTTACACATAAATGAAAAGATTGAAACCATTTCTAGCTTTCCGAGAATTAATTCGCCTAAGAACCCTATGTTGCCTGGCCTATTTGAGAACACACATATAGCCCAGTAGCATTAGGCGATAAAGCCAAACGATAAAGCATTAATAAGTAAATTAGATTTTTGTATAATACTCGGAGGTCATAAGAATATTTGTACCTACATTCGCAAATTGTCTAAGACTATACAAGTTTTAATACTTCTCTCATGTATGTGTTATACTATGTGCTATAGAAATAATTTATTACGGCGCGTCCGTCTCCTCACTGATTCAGACGTAATACACCTATTCTTTGGTAATATGCAAAACTCGTTTTTTTTTTCTTTTGTTTCTACATGAATTCTCGCCCTCGGAGTCAATATTTGCCAAATCAATTATTAATATAAGGAAAAGTATTAGTCCCATAACAGACACCTGCGGAACGCCGCACTTAACCACTCCCAGTACATAAATCCAGTTTCCTTGGCAATATTTCATGATTGAGCCTAAGTCTGATGGTCTCTTTTTTTTATTTGAGAAAAGGTGAAATAGACGATAACTTGTCTACTGATTACGTTATATTGAGACACAAAAGTACATGACTTACCCTGAACAAGGGGATCTTCGTATACCATTACCATGATTTAGTACACAATACAGGTACTGGCATCACCAGAGGTGGTTGCAGATAAAGATAGGCTGGAGAAATAATCATAAACTCAAGGGATGTTCAAGATAGAAAAGGATAATTCACAAACCTGGCACGTTCTAAGAAAATTACAAAAAAGCTGGCCGTTGACCGAGTAGCCAACTATTTAATTAGCCATAAATGGTAGTCCGAACCACAGAGACGCGATATTGAAGGATTCACGCCTTCAAGAAACTTTTAAAGAGACTTAGCACGTTCGCCAAAAATCAAAAGGGCTCGCTGATGTCAACTTGCTTAACCAAGCTGCTAAAAAAGAGTTCCCGTTCTCAAACAAGATCGTGGGCAATTCAAATAATTGTCAAACTTTTGACCTCGACACACTTGCAGAATGAAGCTAGCCGAAAAGGTGGCTTTAGCAACCGGGACCATTGGTATTATTCGGAAGGATATAGAGCTGGGCGAAAATCATTGAATGAAGATGGTATGGTGCCACCTGAATGGAAGACATACTTACATAAAAATCAGGTTGACTCCTAATTACAATCTAAACCTAAATTTGAATAGAAATAAGTACGTACTTGATTTACATTACAATAATTAATATAAACAGCAATACCGGTGATTACAATTAAAAACACCTAAAATGGTCGCTATCGACTTGGCAACACTGCTAGAGCCATTTTGTAAGACAAAGTAGCTTAATTGCTACAATATGGACCAAAGGAAGATCACAGAGACAACTTGTCGTCACTTGGAAATCTCGATACGGTCCTTCAAGTAGAGGTTCTAGTGATAAAACACTGCGCGAAACTTCAACCAAGTCTACCACAAAGAGATACTACTGCACCAAACTACTTTGCAACTTTTCACTTTGCACTTTGCTTTATTTGAAAAGTGCAAAATTATGCGACTTTGCAATTTTCACTTTGCACTTTGTACTTCACCAGCATATAGAACACCTCCCTTTTGGTAAAATTTACGTGCAACTTCGTGTCCTACGTTAGGCCAGCAAACGTGCGTGTTTAACATAGTGTTTATCACAGCACTATGAGCACTTTGTGTAGCGTTCTGCAAACAGTTGCTATATCTACTCCGTGCATGGTTGACACACCATGAATTTGAGCTCCGTTTCCCAAGCAATGGAGAGCCGAAAGCAATTGCTGTTTTGCAGTCAGAGCATGATTTCTTATATTGTTGTGAGACAATTGGGCATCTATATTGTTAAGCACATATTCCACTTGTAATTTTGTAAGGCGGAACGGCGGAACGCTTCTTTAAAAAAAAATCATTCCCTAAATCAAACTGTATTCTTACTTTATAAACTTTTTTTGACAAAATTTTCAAAAATTTTTGACAAAAAAATGTTGGTGCAATGCTTATCAAATATTTTTTGAAAAGTTCATCGCTTCGCCACTTTTCTTTTATCACTTTTCACTTTGCATAATGAACTTTGCGAACAGCATTGGTGCAACAGAAAACGATATGCAAAGTGCAAAGTGAAAAGTTGCAAAGTAGTTTGGTGCAATCAGCTCGGATAGTCAGGCTAAATTAAGTCTTTATGGAACATATGGATATGGACCGCAGGAGGCTAGACCGCAGGCGCCTGACTGATCATGGTTTATTTAAATTTCACTGCAAAATGACGGGGCTCTGGAATCTGTGAGGAGGACCTATGCAGGTTCCGCGGCAGGCAAAAAGAGGACAGCATTAGGACTAAAAATACTTTAATGCTTGGGGGGCGGCATATCCCAGCATGGAGGCGTCACCAAGATGCAGGACTGGGATTGAACTAAATTGCCTGTAGAAGCCGGGCTTGAGATCTAGGAATCACAGGTAAAGGTGGAGCTACAAGAAGTTTCACAATCGATTTTGGTGGCTAAAGGGCAGCTAGACATAGTACATCGGCAAACTCGTCTATCTTTCTATCCCTATTATTCCCCTATCCAAGCTTATTAATTATTGACCACATTCCTATCTGGATATTTTGTGAGTCTATCAATCTTGTATTTTGATGCAAACATTTTTACTTACAAAATCTTTTATTAGATCATGAATTTCCACCTAGTAGAAGCCAATTCAGTAAAAATAATTATTATTTATTTCTTCAATATGAGGGTACAACCAAATGGTCAAATTATATTGGTTGAAATTAAAACCTAAACAGACAACTAACCTACCCTTGGCCTGGAGAGTTTACAGGTAAAACTCGATGTTGATTAATTAGTGATTAATGTAGTGCTCTAAATGGCTTAACATCCGTCTCTCTCTCACTTCACGCTGTTAAAACGGACAGTAACGTATTTTTGCGACACAATAGAATAAAATAAATCACAAAATGAGATCCTAAAATCTTCTATAAAATATGAAACACGAAATTTACCTATTGTAACCCCTTTTGTTAAAAAAATTAACAGGAGGCCCATAATATGCTCAGTTTGCTCAGCGAATAATTATTAGGGGTGAGTCAATAGATTAATAAGTACAGAATGGCAAGGGCGCAACTGAATTTGAAAAATAAAATAAATAATTAAATTACATAAAATATTGAAGTGTGAAAGTTCAGAAACACACTTGAAAATAATAATTAGCAAACGGTAATCGATAATTCTGAAAAGGAAAGAAATAAGGCATACATATATTACATTGGTACTACCTCAATATTCTTGCCATATAAGTTCATTACCAATCGTTTCCAGAAAACTAATTTAAAAAAAAAATTAATGATTGAAAATTGTCTTGATAAATATGGTCAGCTTCTGCTTAAAGAATAAATTCAATAAAATCAACTTGCACCTGCATGCAATTAGAAGTTGAGTTAGATGGTCAGGAGATATAATAGAAACCCTCAATTATATAAGTATAGGACCTAAGTTAAAAATTGATTAATTTTCGATGATATAGGTACTTACTCAAAAACTTCAAAGTTAGAGCATGTTGTCCAACTTTGTCAGTCCAGATTAATAATTATGAATAATAAAATTCACATTCCTAAAACATGGCAATATTAAAATTTAAGTGAAGATAAATCTATCTAAAATCCCGGAAATTAAAGATTATTCCACCATCACCTTGGTGTCAAGAATGCGATATTAAAATTTTAATTGTTCAAATGTCATATCAGTAGAAATTCAATCAATTATGTTAATTGATCATAAAATAGATGATAAAAAAAATATACCGGGTGTCCCACCGAAAACTGTCAATGGCCTATTTCTTGAAAACTGTAATCAATAAAAAAAAAAATGGAAAACCCGCTTAGAGCGTTGGAAGGGGGAACCAAAACAAGGTACTTTTCAGGTCTCCCTGAATCACCCCTCCGGCCGTAGCTTCCCTAACCTCAAAATCTTAAATGGCACTATGGGTCATGTGATACCTTGTTTTAAAGGTCTTTTAATTCTCTTAATAGTCTACAAAAAAAAATTATCCACATTTGAATGTGAGTCTCATTTTGATGAAAACGTCATTTGATCGGGTGGAACAGGAACATGTGATTTAAAATCGATTTTATACAAATTGAATAACAGCATGAATATTTTTGGAGAAATCATCAAGATTTTATTTTTTTGAACCCCTTTCCCCTCACTGTACTTGACAGTGTTCACCTCTTCAAGAGAGCAAAGTTGTTAACTCGAAGCATGCGCCATTTTGTGACAATTTAAATTTGTATCTAGGTAATTTTTTTTGCAGATTCGCTTAGAGAATTAAAAAAACCTTTCAAACAAGGTATCACATGACCTATAATGCCATTTAAGATTTTGAGGTTAAGGTGGCTACGGCCGGAGGGGTGATTCGGGGAGAGCTGAAAAGTACCTTGTTTCGGTTCCCCCTTCCAACCCTCCAAACGGGTTTTTCTTCTACTTTTTTTTAATCGATTACCGTTTTCAAAATATAGGCCATTGACAGTTTTCGGTGCGACATCCGGTATATTAAAAGCTATTAAGGAAACAAGCCTCCATTCCAACAAAAGGGGGATTACGGTATCCATACAGCCATCCATTTTCTGTCA